CTCTCACTAGCTATAGTGGACTGGATTAAGAAAAGCGGCAGTAAGTTACGTGCATTAAAATAAAGATAGACCCTAAAACCTAAAGCCTGGAAAAATACTTCCCCACAGATCACCAAATCTATCCCATTTACAACAGTGGAAGCAGCTGAGCGTCTTCTGCACTGGCACTTTCAGCCACGGAGGAAGATTTGTTCATCAGGGTGTCTGAATGTCAGATTTACACCACTACAGCTGACGGTTTGGAATCTGAGCAAACTTTCACAATTTTGGAATTGTATAAAAAGACTTCATTTCCATCTGTGTAGCCACACACGGCTAATCCCAGTGACTTGGCGTACAGAGAAAGGCTGCAGGATGCTACAGACTTCTAAGGGTCTGCTCGCTTGTGCACCCATTGGAAGGAGCCAGAGACACTCATTCGAAGGAACACCTCCGAGTTTCCTGACTATGCAGAAAATAACAGAAGGAATATCCAGGATTTCTAATTTTGCATATTCAGTTTATTTACTTTACAAGCAGGATAAAATATTCAGGTTTATCAGTTCAAATAACTCTGCCAGGATCTTCTTCCTGCTGTGCACAGTGGAAGAGAAGAAATCTTGCAGGATGAATTTTATCTGTATACCTGAGCACTTGTGTTCTGTGGGATTTAACAATATCTAGCTCTTTGTGATTACTGTATATGTTAACCTTTATGTCACTATCAAAATGAATATCAATAAAGATGCTTTATATAAATAATTATAATCAATAAAGGAACTTTCCACAGATTATTATACACTTCAGGGAGAGAATATTTCCGTCTAAAATAACAGAATAAAGCAAATTCCCCAGAGGACAGACAGATTTCCTTATATTATCATTACTTCAGTTAAAAGAAAAAAATCCATTAAAATATGTGTCAAACAATTGCTTTGGGAAAATTATTTTGGCAGTTCCCCAGCCCAAATATCATTTATCCATTCAGGGTTTCAGACACAGCTAGAGTAGCTCCAAGCCAACAGCATAATTCCCTTTCTAGCAAAGTATTTAAAGATGTTTCAGTGTTTTGATGAATAAAGACAGTTTAAGCTTGTCCTCAAGTGGCTTTCCGAACCAAACCTTCTGGCTTGGCCTTTTACACTCATGACTGGTCCCACTGACTTAAAAGGATTGTGAGAGGAGAGCTGGCACCTCTGACAGATACTCTGTTCAGACAATTATTTCCTTTTGTTTCAATTCTCTCCTGATCTTCTTTGATTTTTATCTTATGCAGGTTTGATCCTCGAATGAGGGCAATAAGGGGCTTAGGGAACATTCCTTTCCATGTTTAAAGAAGGAAACATCTTCTGGAATCACTGGCATCTTCTCTGGCAGAGTTTAGCAGCCAGCAGAGCTGGCAGACTACCAATCTCAGTATCAGGTGTCTGTCAGGTGGTTTATTCTTAGAAAAAATGATTGTTTGGCAAGTGTGAATTATATAAAACAAACTCCAGTAAAACCATAGCAGCTTTTGTGAGTCGTAGTAAAAAAGATTGTAAACTACCTTTTATGCAGATTGGCTGCTTCCCTGACCATTGTCCATCGTCTTGGCAGGTCCTCTGTTCATTCCCACTAAGAACATATGAGTTGTTACAAAAGAAAGCAATGACTGTGCCAGTTTTTGCATATTGTCCATTCAAGAGCCCAGTGTCTTCTACTACTCTTCTGTAGCCATTGAGTGGACCACCAGGATCTGAGCAGGTTTTTTCATCTAGAACTAATGATAAGGGAAAAAAATAGTAACCATTTTTTCAAGTTCACAGCATTATTTTCACCTGTCAGATTGCTTGGCATTTCATTCAGATGTTACTACACAATCTACACTTCATTATAAAGATGCCTTTTCAAGACCCATCTGGGATCTCTGTCTTCAAAAAGATAAAATATTAAAGAAGAAATTATAATATACAGATGTCTGTTTGTAATACACACTTTCGTCTTCACTGAAAGCATAAGATTCTCAAATAGTTAAAAAGACCTCAAAACATAGCTGACCATCCTGAAAAAGCACCTTGACTTCATAGGATGTTAATGTCCCATTAACATTAATAGGGCTACTTCAAGAGCATAAAAGGATGAAGCTATTTCACTTGAACTATTTGCAGGAAACAGGCCCTTGGCCTTCTTTTCCCTCTTCTATACTGCCAGTACTTTACTGGACTTGGATAATAAAACTAGACTACTTAATTTTACTTTTATGTTTGGTTGCATTTTGTTTCTTAACACTAAGACAGAGATCTCAATAATCCAGGGAAATATGGAAACTGAAAGAGAACATACGTATCTATACGTATAGATATATATATATATCTCTATACATACGCTCTATCTATTACTGATACTAAAAATTTAATATGGAAAGCATACTCATGCTAGGTTCTGCCTATAAAACCTCTTTTACTTCTGTCTTCCCAATATTTTCCCCTTCTTTTTATTTGTTGTGGGTTTTTTTCCTCTCAATAAACTTTTTTTTTTGTCCTAAATCTGGATTACAGCATTCCTCATCTGATGCTAATAAATGCTTTTCTCTATATTTTTCACTTTTCTGCTCTTTCTATTTAGCACCTGAAAAGGTACTTTTTATTTCCTTTATATTTCATCTCAGTTTTCTTGTCAGGCTGACAGTAACGTGCAGTTCTGTTTAACTCCTCTGTATGATGTCTCATTGCATGATAACCAGGGAGAATCCTGTTTAGACACTAGTGCTGGTGCTGCTCTGCTTATGGACGGCTGAGAAGACTGAGCCATATCAATTGACCAGAAATGACCTCTCCATGTCATTGCTTCAGGTTCAGCTGCCTGCTGAGCCTCACTTCACAAAAGCACCAACATATAACAAAGCACTGAAACATCTGTTTATATCCCTGTGAAATCAGCATGGTAGCAGTGCATAGGTACAGCCCTGTCCTGTTCCTGTATCCTCGTGTGAGCAGACAGCGCCCAGGTCAGCAGAGCATATAAGCACACAGCTAACCGTAACAGCAGACATTCAATGACGAGCATACACTCTTAACATAGAGAATATAACTCAAGCTATGTATGTATTTCAGTGTTATCTTTAACAACGTTGGATTTTAGCTTATGCTGAAGGTCATATATGTACTTAAATACTATTCCACATCAATCGTAGTCAGTAAACTAAATGGATGTCTGAAAGGGAGAAGCAGAGCCCTGTCTCCTTTTAATTTGGCTCCATTTTTCTTCTCTGTATCTCACAGGCTCTCTCACTTGTAAACCACAAGGGATTGATAACTTGAGAGCAGCTAAAGACCACAGGGAATCACTCACAGTATAATGCTTTATTGGCAGGCTGCTTTCTGCACTGATATCCAGCCTAGAGGCATCATTTGATGAGCAGAGTGCATGTTTCCAAATGTAATTAAGCTTTACCAAATAAGTCAATGAATACTCTCAGTAACTTGAACAGTAATTCTCTTCTTCCCTAAGCTCAGGGTTATGACTTTTTAAATGGATTAAAAACAAAGAGAAAACATGGGAAGGAGAAGCCAGAATTACACCACCTAGCACTTCAATAACAGCCAAGTCTAGAGACAGATCTTTCAGTAGATCTTTAGCCAGGGATATCACACAGCATGGACTTCAGCACAGTCCTGACACTGCATTTACTGCAAATGGAGATGTTCTCTCTAGACAGAAGAATGCCTATTGCTTGCTTTTTAAGGTGAACTTATACACAGCTATTTCACAACATCTCCCCCAAAATTTATATTATTTTCCACAACACAATTGTAAAAGCACTCTTTCAATTGATACAAATTATTCTGGAATATGGAAATAAAATTGTACAACACAAAAAACTACAGAAAAATTAAAAGTTTCTTTGGATGAGAAGAAGAGGCTTGGAATTTCACAGCTGAATCAATGTGAATGGTCAGGATGCCAACTTGCACAGTCAAAATGAATGGAAGTTTCTCTTCTAACAGTTTTCCTCTAGGATGGGAATTCTGTTGAAATAAGAGTCTAGTCTTCATGCAGCAAGTCCCTAATCACCCCCCCAGAGTGCACCGAACTTCTGCAGAGAAGGTATCAGAGGTACATAGTAATGGAAGTAGCTATTCATTGCTGCATGATGTCCCTCACTTGGTTTTGGTCCTGACATTTTCATTCTGTGTGTAAGAAGGATGTGTGCCTAAAGTTTTTAAGGAAATTCTTTTTAAAGTCATTTCATGTTTCAGTCAGACTTTTATATAAGCAAGTCTTGCAGGCTTGGGCTCCAGCAGAGTAAGATAAGAATCTCTGCTGCTCCTTAAGGACAGGAAGACAAAAGAACATTGTGATAAGTCATGGATCTACCAAATTTCAAGTGAGGTTTGTATATTCTAGTTTCACGTGAATACGCTGGATGAAACATTTGATAAGAATCGAAAATTAACGTGACCTTACCACATTCAGGATGATGTGCTGACCAAGTCCCATCAAGCTGACAGTAGGCAACACGGCTGCCCTTTAAGCTGTAACCTGCGTTGCACTTGAAGTAAATGTGGGCCCCGTATTTAAAGTCATCTCCTTCCACAATACCATGAGCGGGAGCACCTGGAGTCCTACACATCACCACTGACAGTTCAGATATTTCAAAAAAATCCACTTTATTACAAAAACAGGACTTTGTTAGGATGATTATTTATAACATTGAAAAAAAAACAATTAAAATGGCCACTGGAGTAAAAATTACAAGACCGGTATAAGCCGATCTTTAGAAAGTTGTTTAGATACCAGTTCTACACACACTCACAATACACCACTTTTCAAAACATATCTAGATCCATTCAGTTCAGTGGGATTACTCAAAAGTGTGAAGTGATCATGTGTTTGTATCACTAGGGTTCATTTGCTCAAAATATTAGTCCTTGAAGCACTTTCCATCTTAATAGGGGTTTTGAATGAACTTGCTTGGTCAAGAAAAAAATTAAATCCTTAAAAGCCTTATACTGAAATTCTTTCAAATTCTTCTTTCCATTTTTATATAGCTTTTCAGATGACCTCACTGAAATAATTATTATTTGTGTAGCTCAAACACTATCATAGTGACATTACAAAGGAACCTTGATACTTACCAAACTGATATTTACTCTTTCCACAGGGTCTGCTCTATTGGGAAAATACTTAGAGACAGTGGTCTACTTTACTGCAAGCAGTAAATATTAGATTAAACATCATAAGCAAGATTTCTCTGAGAGCATCAAACTAGCCATACTACAAAAGAAAAAAGGTCCATCCAGCACAGAAGCCTGGTAACCAGTAGATTTGATCAAAGGATTATAAAAACAGAGCAAGCATATCGAATACTTTCCTGGCATGTTCTGGCAGCATTCAGCCATCTAGGGCTCACGGACTACCTGAACCACAATGATATTTTTGGTATAAAAATATATGCCCTGGTGGGGGTTTTTTCAACATTAATTTGGCTGAGTATTTTCTAAACTCAACTCCATACTTGATATCCACAATATCCTGTGACCATGAGCTCTACAGACTGTGTTGTGTGAAAAATACACTGCCTTCTTTGGTTTGGTTTCTAGCCTGACACCTGATAATTTCATGTGATGCTCTGCTTCCTTCGTTATGAGAGACAGAGGACGTCCATGCCCTATTCACCTTCTCCAAGTCACTTTTTAAGACCAATTTTCCATATGTAGAAATTGTATGTATATATTTCTCTATGTTGAAATTACAGCAATGTAGGAAACACAGGTTTTGGTGTCTACACAGTTAACCATCTCTCTGTATGTCTCTGACTTTGCCTGCCTGGCCATTCATTGCAGAAAACTGCATAGGAAAGGATTCAGTGCGAGATTTAGACATGCATAGGGGATTTTTACCTGGGAGCCGTGGTAGCTCACTGAAGATAGAAAGATGAATGCTAAAGAGATCATTCCTACTTCATGCTTTCAGAACTTGACTTTTTCTGTTTTGCCTCATAGCTAATTGCTTACCAACCTACAGCCAAATTTTGATTCTTACACTTCCAGAGGAAAAACTTGTCTAAGTTCTCATCGCTGTAATCCTGATACAGAACACACATGAATGTATTTACATATATGGATTTTGGACTATCCAATTATTCACATAAGGAATTGACTTTTGAGTAACAGTCCTAAAGACTTGCATTCGCAAGAACAAGGGTCCACAGAAATTCCCTTCATTTGACAGATTACAACAAACATCAAACAATAAGTTGACAGAATCATCTGTGCACAAGTCTTGGAAAGAAAAGCTGTCTAACATTTAAACATTAGGGAAGGGCCCAGACTCACTGCTCCAAATCAAAACACATCCAGTTAGAAAAGTGTAACATTCTCTCTTAGCTGCAAGTGTCCTGCCTCAGTGTCATCTTTAGTGAAAGAATAATGATAAAAATTCAACAACATTCATTCCTAGCCCTCGACATTTCTCATGTGAAATACAGACGCACATTCCTATACATGCACATAGAGGTGCACATGTGTGTAGAAAACACAGAGATAAATGAAAGGGGAATCACGGGAGCACAGATTTTCTAGGTGCCTTAAATTCTCAGCACACTTGTCTTCCCAGTCATGATCTTTGTATTCCCAGTCACTCCCTCCATATCTTTCTCTGAACAGTAATTCATTTCACTACATTTACATTTCTCTCTGTCAATATAAAGTCACACTCAGTTTGTCAAATGAGAAAAGATTATTAGAAACATCTGTGCATCACCCAGAGTTCTCCTTTTTATTATAAATGCAGGTTTTCTGTTTTGTTTGGGGTCCAGTTCAGCTCTGCAGAACAGATGTTTGGTGCTTTTGTGTTCTAGGTTCCAGAAAAAATGTCACCAAGCTACGCTTACTTTCTTTCATCCACAAACTGTAAGTATTTGTTCTTGTTCAGATATTTAGTTTCTAGTCCTTTTTATTTGCTTTGGTTTCCAGACTTTCTTTAGGTTCTCTGTGCCAGTGTAACTTAGATGGAACAACTCTGCTTTTACTTACGATGTAAATTCAGTCTTTAGCGCACTGATTCTTTTAATACTGGAGCTGTGGCCTAGAGTAGAGCATATGGAGGCAGAAGGTCATGAAATCGAATCACAGCTATAAAACTGTGGCCATGGGTAAGTTGCCTCATCTGCTGTATCTAACAAATGAGAGCACCCCTTTCCTCACAGGGATGTTATAAGCATTAGCTCATACCCACTTGTGCCACGGAGTGCCCGTGGTGTTACTCTGATGGCAAAACAGCTAAGTAGTATTAAGAGATGTGTCCCTTTTGTTACCCATGCCTTAATCTACTTGTTCTCTTGTAACACAGGCTCTTCCCTCATGATCTGTCTTGGTCTTTAAGCTTTGCCACTGGTGTCACAGCCACTCATTTTATTTTATCTTTGGATCATTTTGTAAGTTCATTCTTTCTTTCTACAAATTAAATGTGGTTTTGGATCTTGAGAGGTTCCCTGCAGCTCAGTACCACAGGTAAACTCTCTGTTTTCAGCTATATTATCTAGCCTGAAAGTCATATACAATTACTCTAGTACCTGCCTCTACTGCAGGTAGAGTTTGAGCTCTGTAGGTATTTTCCCTCTTCAGTTGGACTTGCCTTCTATCTCTTTCACCCAATATATTTCAGGCAGCTCTTCTGCACCTTTTCCATTTACTTGTGAACACTTCAGGCAATGGAGTTTTGAACAGTTATTATGAAGGGAATCCTAGCCCCTATGTGCTTCATCCAATTCTCTCTTATCTTTTTGTGGATAGCTTTCCATCGAGAGTGTGAATGTGACTGGTTCTTATATCTTTCAGAATGTAAAGTATATTCTATTGAATTTTAGGACAGCCTCATTTGTTTGAGATATTTTATTGAAGTCTTCCAACATTCTCTCCTGGTGTAAGACTATATCCAACTCTCCATCAGACATTTCTCAGAAGTCAAAAAGACAGGAAAAGAATGTTCTGTAAATGTCATTCATATCTAGCTCTGCCCTTACCCTCTGGATACACAGACTAGCCATAAAAATCCAACCACCTGAGCTGACCCAATTATTTTCAGCTTCTAAGCTCTCTATTTGATATGATTTCAGATTCCCTTTCCTAGGCAGGATGGGCCTGACCTTGACATCTACTGAGTATTTCTGAATACCAGTCCTCCTTCTCTGCACGGTCCAGCTTTCACAGCCATGTGAGCTGAATTCCCCTCACAGCACTCACCCACCTACAGCCATCCCCATCCCACCTTGTGTCCAACTCCAGCTATTCCTGTGCCTGGTCTAGCCTGACCACTACAGCAGAGATGGGGCTGTGAGCTGTTTGGACAGCACTGCCTTGGGAAGCAGGTGGTGGGCTGGCCAGGAGCACTCCACGGGCTGGAATTGTTCCTAGGCCACAAGTTAGACTGCTTTACTCCACATGTAATAAATGGTTGTGCTGTGTTTGGCTATAGCATTACTTGTCCATATCAAAATAAGAGAGGAACGAGTAGGCAAATCTGTCTTGATAACCCTGGGAGGACTTTCTCGCTGACACAGCAGTCACTAAAGAAAGAAATGGCATCCATAGGTCTTACCCTACTTAGTCCTCATCAACATTTCCCTAGTGTTAGTGCAATGTCCTCTGAACAGCAGTGACTGCCCAGCTTTTCACAAGATTAATATCTTACCTTTTCTTTCAGTGCACTTTGCAAAGCAGACAGAGAAAGAAGAAGCAAAAGACAAGGTAGAGAGCTTCAGATAGAATTATTATGGTACAGAAATGTACCATGAAGTCAGCAACACTCACCTCAAAGTGTAAGGTGTGACACAACCCTGCCAAAAGGAAACTAAGTGTGTCAGGATTTCAGGTTGCAGTGTTTGGCTTCTGCACCTTTCTCTCTGCAAACAGAAGACCAAAGCCACCAAGAACCCAGAAAATGGACTAGGGCTGCAAAATTCTACTATGAGATGGTAATGGACAGCAAAATATGAAAGACATTCATCCGAGATCAAGAAGTCTAAGAAACCCAGAGACACCATGAGGGTCAGGCTGATCCCATTCTTCATGCCACGGTGTCATCACACCTACAAAGATTCTGGTGGACTTATGTCTAGAAAACAATAGGAAAACCGGATATACTTCAGGGAAAGATGAAACTAATGCTACGAAAATATAATCTCGAGAGTGACAAAGAGCTAAGAATGATCACTCTAGTCATGCAAAAGCTAAAAACTACAATATTTTAAAAGGTAAAACCAGAAAGGATACAGTAAACTGTTTTAAGGAAGACAAAGAGGTATATTCAGGCAGGATAAAAATTAAGAACAGGACAAATCTTACTCAAGAAAAACTCTCTAAAAGTCTCCTTGACAAATGTTTGAAAGGCATACTAGTATGTAAATGGAAATGATGAGTCTCATAATTTGAAAATTGAAACACCAGCTAAAAAAACCAAACAAAAACCACAAAAAAACCCCAAAACAAACAAAAAACCCCACAAAAAACCCAAAACAACAAAACACAAATTAAAACAAACAAACACACAAACAAACAAACACCCTGGAAGTGACTTTAGAAAGAACAGGACAGCACTAGCAAGCCCTTTATGAGCTGAGGGGTTTTTTGGTTTAATTTTTCTCTATTTTGCTACACAATGTTGTT